TCCTGTGGGCCTCTGAGGGCGGAAAGCTCTGCTGTTGGGTTCGCCTTCCCCTTCTTGGGGCTCTCTTGGGCCCTCTTGGGGCCCTCTCCGGCCGTCTTGGGCGCCTCGGGCACCGTCTTGGGGCCCTCGTGGGCCGTCTTGGGGCCCTCTTGGAGGCCTCTTCGGCTATCTTGGAGCGGTCTTGGGGGCCACTTGGGCCGTCTTGGAGCGTCGGGGTGCCGAAAGGCTGGGAACTCTAAAATCCATCAAAAGCCGATGGGAAAACGATGCTTCTTGGAACCTCTTTGGCCTTATGTGGAGCTTCTTGAGGGCATCTTGGGTCCCATTTGGGGGCCTCTGGGTTTTCCTGAGAGCCTCTCGGGGTGGAAGACTCGGATTTTCGGTTCGTCTTACCCCTCTTGGGCCCCCCTTGGGGCCGTATTGGTGCCTCTCGGGCTGTCTTGGGCCCTGTTGGAGGCCTCTTGGGCTATCTTGGATTGGTCTTGGAGGCCTTTTGGGCAGTCTTGGAGCGTCAGGACGCCAAAAAGCTGAAAACTATAACATCAATCAAAAACCTATGGCAAGACATGGATTTGTGCCTCTTGGGGCCTTCGTGGGAGGCCTCTTGGATACTCTTCGGCCCCCTGGGGGGCTTCTCGGGGCCTCTTGGAGCCTGTTAGGGGCTTCTCGGGGCCTCCTGAGAGCCTCTCGGGGTGGAAGACTCGGATTTTCGGTTCGTGTCAACCCTCTTGGCTCCATCTTGGGCCGTCTTGGGGCCCTCTCGAGCCGCCTTGGGCGCCTCTGGCGCCGTCTTGGGACCCCCGTGGGCTGTCTTGTGACCGTCTTCGAGGCCTCTGGGGATGCCTTGGAGCGCAAATTGAAGTCTCTTGGGCCGTCGTGGAGCGTCAGGAAACTCAAAAGGCGAGAACTCGAAAATCTATCAAAAACCGAGGGACAAAAAATTAGTTGTGCCTCCTGGGGCTCCTTGGGAGCCATCTTGGAGATCTCTTGGGGCGTCTTGAAGGCCTCTTGGACAGTCAGGGACCAATTCTGGGGTGATCTCGAGCAGTCATTGGTCGTTTTCGTTGTCTGGAAACGCCATTTCTGCCTATCCAGGGCCGTCTTCGTGCCCGCGGCAGGGGGTGGGTGGGCCGTCTCGGCGCCCTCGTGGGGGCCTGTTGGGGCGACATTGGGTGTCTGAAATCCATCAAAAACCCCAAGACAATCAATGATTTTGGCGTCCCTTTGGGCCGTGTTGGAAGCCTTGTGGGCCGTCCGGAGGCCATCTTGGGCGTGTTCGAACGATATGTCCTCGTTCCGGGGCCTCTTGGGGGCCTCTTGCGGCCCTTTTCGTCTGTGTTGGGGCTTTCTTGGGCCGTCTGGGGGCGGCCCTGGGCTGTCTCGGCGCCCTCTTGGAAGCCTTTTTGGAAGATTTCTGGGTGTCCTGGACCGTCCTCCTTCAACGGCGGCGGCACTGGCCGTAAGACTTCCTGGGAACATGATTTGTTGGGGTGTCGTTGGGCGTCTCCGGAGGCTTCGGGGCCTGACGCGTTCCGAGCGTGGCGGCAGATAGCGCTGCTTGGGACCCTCGTTTTTTTTATCCTGGCAAGCGTTTAAGGAGCATGGTTTGGGGAGAGGGCGGCAACCCGAGAATCATGTTCCCGGGAAGCTTTCCGGGATCATGATTTGTTCGGCTCTCTTAAGAGGGGTGCCTCTGGGGGCTTACCGAGGGGCCCTGTTTAGCCTTGTCGGCAAGCCTATTGGAAATATGGTTGGGGCGGTGGGCGGAAGCCCAAGGAATCATTTTCCGGAAAGCTGTCTGGGAAATACGATTTACCGAGGTCTCTTGGGGGCCCGCAGGGGACTTCCCTGGGGGCCCCTTTGGGGCTTAGTGGGGCTTCCGGGGGGCCTCTTGAGAGCCTCAGGGGGCTTCTTGGGAGCCTCTTGATGGCCTCCCGGGGCGTCCCAGGAGCCTCTCAAGCCGGAGACTGTGAAATGTCGCGCTCTTCGGGCCCTCTTGGGTCGCTCTTGGGGCTCTCTTGGGGCGCTCTCGAGGCCCTCTTGAATTATCTGGGGAGCCTGCTGAGACATCTGGTTTTTCTTGGGAGCCTCTTCGGCCGTCTTGGAGCGATCTGAAGGGCCTCTGACGCCGTCCGGGACCGTGGGGAGGCGGAACATGCGAGAGCGCAAAAATGCGGGGCCCTTTGGAGGGGCCTCTGGAGGCGCTCTTGGGGCGTTTTGGCGGCGCCGTCGGCCGTCCTGAGGCCATCTTCGGCGTGTCCGGGGCCTCTTGGGGCTGTCTTGGCAATCTTTACGGCCCTCTTGGCGTGTCGTGGCGTGTTTGGGAGCGGGCCTGGGCAGTCCCGGGAGCCCTGGGGGCTGTTGAATACTAGGTGTTGTCTTGGAGGCGGAGGCTGTGGAATGCAGGGTGGTGCGTGCTACGCCGAAGGCGGGCGAGCGGCCGGGCGGGCGGCGGGCGGGCGGGTGGCGGGCGGGCGGGCGGGTCGAGATTTGAATGAATTCCTTAAGGGTGCTCACTTGCAGCGGGAGCTTGTTGAATACAGGGTGTTGCCTTGAAGACGGGGGCTGTTGACTACAGGGTGTTGTCTTGGAGACTGAAGCTGTTGAGTACAGAGTGGTGCGTGCTACGCGGACGGCGGGCGGGCGGCGGGTGCCCTAGGTGGTGGGTCAGAGGCCTCGTGGGTGTTGGTTTGGATCTCGTGGTTGGCCTGTCGGGGACGTCGCGAAGGCAATTTCGCAACTTCTCGGCAGCCGTTTTGGGACCGTTGTGGGGCCTCCTCGGGTCTGTTTTGTGGCCTCTTGAGGCCTCATTTGGGCCTCCTGGGTGCCTCTCGGGGGCCTCTTGGGGGCTCCTTGGAGCCTCCTCAGGCACTCTTCAAGCGGGAAGGTCGACTTTTGGAGTCGTGGTCCCCCTCTTGGGCGCATCTTGGGGCCATCTTGGGGCTCTCTTGGGCTGTCTTGGGCGCCTCTGGGGCCGTCTGGGGGCCCTCTCGGGCCGTCTTGGGGCGCTCTTGGGGGCCTATTGGGCCGTCTTGGAACGTCGGGTAACCGAAAAGGCTGGAAGGCCAAAACCTCTCCAAAACCTTCCGTAAAATTTACGATTTCGGCCACTTGAAGCGCTCTGGAGAGGCGTCTTGAAGCGTCGTGGAGATTGGGGGGGCCTCTCGGGCCGTCTTGGGCCCATCTTGGGCGTCCAAGAGCGGTCTTGCGGCGACTCGGGGCCCGCTTGGGCCGTCTGGGGAGGCCCCCCTGGACTATTTTGGACCTCCCCGGCCGCCCCGTCCTCCCGTGGGGGGTCGGGGCAACTGTTTGTGGGCCCCGGGCCTGCCCCTCAGGGTTATCTATCTATCTATATATATATACACATACATACATACATACATACATACATACATACATACATACATACATACATACAAACATACATACATACATGCATGCATGCATGCATGCATACATACATACATACATACATACATACATACATACATACATACATACATATATACATACATATATATGTATATATACATACCGGGCTCCAGGCCCACGGCCCCCCCCCGCCCCCCTCCCAGATGGGATGGGTCCCAGGGCTCCACGGGCCTCCCACCCCCACTGATGGGATGGGGGGGTGAACGACGATGACGACGACGACGGCGGCGACGGCGACGGCAACGACGACGACGACGACGACGACGACGACGACGACGACGGCGGCGACGACGCCGACGGCAACGACGACGACAGCGACGACGACGACGGCGACGACGACTACGACGGCGGAGGCGACGACGACGGCGACGACGGCGGCGACGACAACGACGACGACGACGACGGCGGCGGCGGCGGCGGCGACGACGACGGCGGCGACGACGACGACGACGGCGGCGACGACGCCGACGGCAACGACGACGACAGCGACGACGACGACGGCGACGACGACTACGACGGCGGAGGCGACGACGACGGCGACGACGGCGGCGACGACAACGACGACGACGACGACGGCGGCGGCGGCGGCGGCGACGACGACCTCTGGAGCTCTCCTGGAGCACCACAGTACCACGTCACACACGCGACACCCACAGCACCACAGCACAACCACAGGGGGGACGGAAAACATCGCGCGGGGGAGGGGCCCGATGGCATCAGCAAGAGGGGGGGGGCCAGACCCTGGACCATGTATAGATAGATAGATAGATAGATAGATAGATAGATAGATAGAAAGATAGATAGATAGGTAGATATATAGATAGATATACAAATAGATAGATATATGGAAATGAGACCAGAGAAAAAAAGGCAATCATAATCTTTTTAGGGCCAAGGCTATGGGGCTATAGGACTATAGGCCTAGAAGGCTATGGGGCTATAGGGCTACAGGGCTAGAGGGCTATAGGGATAGGGCTGTAGGGCTATAGGGCTGTAGGGCTATCGGGCTATCGGGCTATTAAGCTATAGGGATATACTGCTAGTAGTCTGTAGGACTCTTGGGTAATCGTGCTATAGGGCTATTGGGCTATGGGGCTAAAAGGCGACAGGCCAATAAGGCACCCAAGCACCCGGGCACCCAGAACATCGGCGGCGAACGTAGCACCCGGGCACCCTGGCACCCAGAAAATCGGCGGCGAACCTCACCTAACCTTATGAATCCGCTAGGACCCCTGCAGAGGCAACCTCTGATTGGGGAGTACAGAGAGAGAGAGAGAGAGAGAGAGAGAGAGAGAGAGAGATAGAGAACGAGAGAACGAGAGAGAGATGGAGAGAGAGAGAGAGAGAGAGATAGAGAGAGAGAAAGAAAGAAAGAGAGAGAGAGAGAGATCGAGATAGCGAGAGCAATGAGGAACGATGAGGATGCATAAGCGAGTACGCAACACGAATATCAAGTCAGGCAAGACACGCATGCGGATTGTCAGAGCCATGCGCGATCTATTGAGACAGAGGCGGGGCATGCCATCCCCGAGTAGGGCAACACAGAGATCGAAAGGTAAAGCTGGCACCAAGACGATGGTCAGCAAGAACACTTTGGCGGATAGAATTTCCCTGGTGGCAAAAGCCGTGTAGACGCAAGCAAATGCTAATTTACATCAACTTCCACACGCTTCTGCGGTACTTCCGCTGAGATCAATCGTGGCCAAAATGCTCACCCGTCATGCTTCCGAGGGGAAGCATGCTAACGAGGCGCAAGGCACTGCAATCTTGCTCATCCTTGTCTGGCGCTATTCCTATCTATTCAGACTTCTGCTGCGATATGCCAGAACCGCAATGCCTTAAGACTCTTGCCTCGCCGCTGTCTGCCTCTCAACGCGAACTCGGCATCCACAATTGCTTACCGCCCGCCCGTTGCCGCTACTGGTCGTGCTCGCTCCCGGCAGCCGCAGGCCCTGGCACACCGACGACACACGGCCCGAGCTGACCAAATCCGCTCTCGCCATGGAGGTGCACGCGACAAGAACGCGAGCAAAGCATCCCCCCCTTGAGCACATCCCCCCTCGCGTTGCCCGCGGGCTTTCGGGCCATACCTCGGCTCTCCGGCGGCCGTTCGGGTCGATCTGGGCACCCCCGGAGCGCGCTCGGCGAGGCGCAGCTGCTGGCCAGCATCCCAGTGCTGGAAGACTGACCGACGTGAACCGATGACAACGTCCGAACACCTCTGCCCTCGAACGGGCTTCGCGTCCGCTGTGGCACAGGCGCGCGACGAAGGACACCGACAAGACGTATCCATTCTTCGGTAGCAGCGGGCTCGGAATCTCGACTGACCGTCTCACTAAGAGGAGGAGAAGGAGTAGTAGGAGGAGGAGAAGGAGGGGGATGATGATGACGATGATGATGATGACGAGGAGGAGGAAGAGGAGGAGGAGGAGGAAGAAGAGAGCGGCGCCCTGGACCCTGTATGGCTTCGGACTCCTCCCTGGTGATCCAATTTGACGCAAGAATAGCGCAACGCCACGCCCACATCCCAGGACAGTGCTGGAATGTCTTCTCTTCTGGGAGGCTTCGCGAATATGGAATCAAACACTATCAGCGCGCTCCTCTCCATCAGACTTTTTCTCCACCAACTCAATCGCAATTCCATGGCACTCCAACACTGTCCTCGCTCTCTTCACGAACGCCGTGGCATAATCTTCTTGCCACCCCGACAAAAGGCGCGCCGCATTGTATGTCCGAGAATGTGTGCCTCACTCCTGGCGAGCAAAAAGCAACATGCCAGCATAGTGAGCGAGGATACAAGGCGACGCGGTGCATGCGGCATGCACGATACACATCTGCAGGCAATGCCACACAAACTCGGCCACCACAAGTCCTGCAATCACTATCCATTCCCGGTTCTGCAACTGCCAAGACCCACCAGACACACAAGATACGACACCGTGCTGCCAGAAATCTTTGGGCACATTCTCTGTCGATCTTAGGAGGTCCTAAGGTGCCCTGGGACTTCTGCGGGTGCCTGGGGCCATCAGGGGGTACAGCATTTCCCTGGGGCACCTGCTGGCAGTCCGATTTGTTATTCGATGTGAACACGCACTCGGAGGGGTTCGGGAGCACAAGGTGTGGCGCGACACATTGACATCATCACGTGCGTACCACGCTTATGGGGCAGCCGCAAGTGAGCACGCATGCAACTACCGCAGTCGGTCGACGAGGAAAGGGCTCAGTAGCCGTCTTCGCCTTGGCCGACCCCCACAACTTGTTGTTCTTTGAAGCTGATCTTTTGGGAATCGGGGGCTATGTAGACGCGCTGAGGGGGGCATCCGGGGCCGTCGTGTGAGCCTCTTGGGGCCCTCTTCAGCGTCCCGTGGGCCACCTCGGGCTGCCTGGGAACTGTCCTGGGGCATCTGTGGTCTCGCCATCGATCGGGCGCCCCTTCCCGGTGTATGCTTCGACCTCGTGCGCTTATTTTTCCGCAAGATGGTTCAAGATGCTCCTCGATGGTCCTCGCCGAAGGAAAAATGCTCACGTCCGAGCGATGCCAAGTCTAGTGGCACTCGCTCGAGGGCAAAGCGGCCGAGGTCGGTCGCGGACCTGCTCGAGCTCCCCCTCCCACAGCCTGAACGCAGGGCACAAGATGAGGAGGACGTGGAGGAGGGCGCAGGAGGAGGACGTTGAGGAGGAGGGGGAGGGGGAGGGGGAGGGGAGGGAAGAGGGGGAGAGGAGAAGGAGAAGGGGGAGAGAGGAGGGAGAGTAGAAGTAGAAGAGCGAATGAGGAAGAAGGAGGAGGGAGGAGAGAGGAGGAGGAGGAGGAGGAGGGAAGGAGGAGGAGGAGGACGAGGAGCGAGGAGGAGGAGCGAGGAGGAGGAGGAGCGAGGAGGAGGAGGAGGGAGGGGGCGACGAGGAGGCGGCGGCGGGAAATCCGCGGCGGCGGGCGCCGCGCAGGGGGTCCTTTTGGCGCCCTCTCTGCCGCCGTCGCTGGTCGCCCTGGTCCAGAGCGAGATGCACTTCAGCACCTCCGGCCCGAGGTCGGGGGCCCATGGGCCCGAGGAGCCGAGGGCCCGAGGGTCGCGGACCCGAGGGCTGCGGGCCCGAGGGTCGAGGGCTCGAGGGTCGAGGATCTGACGGTCGAGGATTCGATGGTCTGCACCCCTGCTCGGGAGTAAGCGCACTTGGAGCCACGACAGCTGACTCCAGTCGACGCGCTCTCTCTTTTTCTTACGCGGCAGTCCAAGTCCGTGCACACATGCGGACGCTCTGCGAAGTTGAGCCAAGCGGGAGCTGCAAGAAAAACACCCAGTCCAGGTTCTTGATCATCTTGAGCGGAACCTGGAGTCCACGAACGTTGCTGCTTGTTCTTAAGGCTTCCGATTCAGGTGTCAGACGTGCCCCTGGCCCAAGGTGCCCCGAGGATTTCTGGGGAGGCCCCCGCAGCCTCCAGAGAACCCCTCACGAGGCCCAGAGGAGCTCTGGGAGCTCCAGAAGCTGGGAGGCCCTTGGGCCAGGGGCACCCGGAGCAGCCCCCGACCGATGGGTCTGGGAGGAGGCCCACTCCCCCCCCCCCCCCCCCGGGAGAACCCAGGAGGCCGCCCCCGGGAGGACCCAGGAGGCGAGGGGAGGGGGGGGGGAGGGGGCACTCGGGCCTCGCAGAAACGGGGGGCTCCACGGAGGCCCCGTCGGGGGGGGGGGGTCCAGGAGGGCGAGATGGAGAGGGGGGAAGGGGTGGGCGGGAGGGGGGGGGGGGTCCAGAGGAGGCTCCGTCGGGGAGGGGGGGGGGGGAACAGGAGGCCCCCAGGATGGCCCTGGGAGGGCGCCAGTGTGGCCCCCCAGGGGAGGCCTCCAGGATGGCTTCCAGGATGGCCCCTGGGATGCCCCCAGGACGGCGGCCCCCAGGATGGCTGGCCCCCCGAGCAGGCCGAGCGACCTCCAGGCCTGGCGGCGAGAGCACATCTGATGCAGTCCTCGTGGCCGGCGATTCGGCCATCGCGGAGTTCCTCTCGACGGAGCTGACTGCTGGCGCCGAGCAAGAAGAGGGGCACGGAGGCAATGCCCCAAGGCGTGTGCCGGAAATCATCGGTGGTCGGGCGCGAGCTAATGGAGGGCGGTCAATGGGGGAGGTAAGAGAGGTTCCCTTTTCGGGACCCGAAGCGCCCCTTCAGGGGCTCGACGGCTCGAAGAAGCCCCTTCAGGGGCCCTGAAGGGCTCCTTTACGGCAGCCCTCGCTGCCGCCCCACTCCCAGATTCCCGACGCCGTGATCTTTTCACAACGTCGACCCTCAGAAGTCTAGGCATCTCCCCCGGGGCTGGCTATTCATCGCCGTTTTCTGACGGCCCCGGGGCCCAGGAGGGGCCCCCTGAGGCCGACAATGGCGAAACACCGTCCGTCGTGACTTTTTTTCACAACGCGAGGGGGTCTGGAATTGTCGCCCCCCCCCCCCCACTACTACGCGTGCTCCCAGAAGGAGGCCGCCAGAAATTCCCCTGGGGGGGCTCAGCAAGGCACCGCCGGGGGCTCTGGGAGGGATCTCGCCCGCCCTCCCCCCGTCTTTCTCTCTCTGCCTTTTCGTCCCTCTGCCTCTTCGTCTCTCGGTCTCTCCGACTCTCCATCTCTCCGTCTCTCTGCCTCTGTCTCTGTCTCTGTCTCTGTCTCCGTCACGTTTTTTTTTGTTTGCTCTCTCTCTCTCTGTCTCGCTCTCTCTCTTTTTGTTATCTCACTCGTTTTTTTTGTTCTCTCTTTCTCTCTTTCTTTCTATCCAGTCTGTCTGTCTGTCTGTCTGTCTGTCTGTCTGTCTGTCTGTTTTGCCCGACGCCGAACAGGCCCGCGAGCTCGCCCGCGCGCACCGCGTGCTCTCCTGCGGCTTAGATGCTGGCAGGAGCACCTCCGGTTGGAGAGAATGGACTCGCGCCCGGACCCGCTGTGCCTGACCCCTAGGACCGGCATCCGGCGGAACCCGCAGTTCTCGGCGAAACGTGGGCGGAGGTGGTCAAACTCCTGGAAGAAACGTGCGGTGCGCTTGTCGTGGAAAGGTGGAACAAGGCCTGCGACCGGCGGGGCGGGAGGGGCCAGGGCAAACGTAGATACGATCCCAAAGGCTACGCAGAGTTCTGCGAGGCTTTCCTTCCTGGCAGAGTTGGCCACCGTGGACTACGATATCCAGCGCCTCTGCAGCAACCGGCACCAGGACGTGGACTGGGAGGCGGTCTGGCGGCAGCAACAGAGCCGGCAGGGGCAGACTGCCGGCAAGGGGCAGGGCGGCAAGAGGCACAGTGAACCGACCTGGCCTGCAAGGGACCAATCACGTCTGCGAAGATTGTGAGGCAGAGAGGCTCGGATGGGCAGACCTCCGCCCATAGGGGCTCTCAAGGGCCCGCATAACCGAAAGCGTGCGGGCGTCCAGCCCGAGCGCCCTGCACACATTCTACCAGCAAGCGCACCATTTAGGCGCTCCCGTCTACCTGGTTGTGCCGGTGTCCGCGGGGGCCTTCCAACCCAGAAGACTCGGTGGCCCGCTTGGTTTCTCCACCAACCTGCGCGCCAGTTAGGTGTATCCGCCTACCCTGCCTTGCTGACGACTGCGGTGAGCCTTCCAACCTGGCATGCGCACCAGTTAGGTGCTTCCGTTCTACCTGGCTCCGCCTTCGGTGGCGCCCGCGCGCTTCCAATCCAGGAGGGCGCCGCCCGCTACCTATCCCACCGGCATGCGTACCAACTTGGTGCTCTCTGCCGCGCCTCCACGGCGCGCCCGCTGCCTAGGCTCCAGCGCATGCTCCAACTCAGGCGGTGCGCGGCCGCGCCTGGGCGGCCCCCCCCCCTTCTCCTCTGCTCCGCCCCACCCCTGGATCATCGCCCTTCGCCAAGCGGGCCAGGCGCCGGGCCGCCCCCGCCGGTGCTGCCGCCCTCAGCCCGTGCGGCTGACCGGGGCCGCGCGCCTGTCTGCAGCGCCCGCTGCCCCACTTATAGGGGTCCCCGCCGTCGCGGCTCACCTCCCGCTTTGCCGCCCCGGCGGCCACCGGTCGCGGCCCCCCCTTGGTCGGCTCCGCGACCGCCGACCCAAGTCGTGATGCCGTGCTCCGGCCTAGGGCTGGCCGCCCTCCCGCGCACCGCTCTCGCCTACAACGAGCGCTGCGCATGCCGGGTCTCGCCGACGCCTGCAGCTTGCGCGCAGAGGTAGTGCGGGATGACGATTCATGAAAAAATGGGGGAGAGCGATTAAACATATAGTTTTCTGCTATTTCTGCACAACTTTCTGACTGGAGGAGAACGATTACAGAAATAGTTTTCCAGCCCGCGGCCGGTTTTTTCTAATCGTCATCCCGGGCGCCGCCGCGTGAACACGACCCCCGGTCATTCAGTAATCGTCATCCTCCATTAGGTTTGCTCCGGCCGCGGTCCTGCTGCCCCGCCAGGGGGCGACCGCCATTGTGGCTCGCCTCCCGCTTTGTCCTTTGCCCCCCTCTCTGGCGGCCGGCTGGGCTCGTCTTGCGCTCTTTCGCTTTCGGCTTGCGCCGCTTGCCCTGGGCGGCGCGCAACTCCCTGCCGTGGCGCCGTGCGCGGGCTGCGGAGTGGCGCTCCTGCTTCTCTCCTGCCTCTGCTTCTCTCCCCGCGCCCTGCGGCGGGTGCCCTGCCGGCCGGCCCATGTCTCGGGGCCGCCGCGCCATTCGCCGCCTTGCACCGTGGTGGCAGCAACGGTGCAGAGGCGGGTCGAGGAGTGGGAGGCCGACCAGCGTACATGTGCATTCCCAGGTGTTCCTTGTGATTCCTAGGGGCGCTGATCGGTGGGACAGGGGTGAGAGCACGGCCAAGTGCACCGTACAGGGCAGTCTTTCACACATAGGATGTTTAAACATATAGGATTTGTAATACATGATTAATGTATGAACAGATTTATGTGTGCATGAACTCCTCGTTGTTGTTAATGCTAAACTCCTGCATTCTTAATACACGATCCGCACGCGGAGCATGTATGAAAAACGGCACTGTGATGAGTTTGTCCGCGGGCTCGTGGCCGTCTGGACCAAACATGCAGCCGGCACGGGGGCGAGAGCAAGGCTGCCGGAGGAGCTGACGGGCAGTCTCAGGCGGAGCGGCTGCCGGACCAGGCGGTCTCGGGCCCTCCCTTCCCCTCATGGGACCTCCTGGGGTCCTCTTCGACCACCACTCAGTGAAGGGGCCCTGGGACACACAAATAAATACACACGAATAAACCGATTCCCTATACTTTTCCCATATTTTTTGGATGTTCGTCTTCCCCCCCACTTCCCATATTTTCCCACATTTTCTGGGGGATCGACGATTAATTGTGTCTGTGTGTTTTTTTCCCTCCTGACTCAAACCCTCCAGCGAAGCGCTATCAACGACACATCGCGACGGCCTCCGGGGGCCTCCACGGGAACGGCTCGGTACGAAGAGCCGGTCCCAGGGGGAAGGGGTCCTGACTTCCGCCGGCCCGCGTCGTGAACAGAAACCGCGACGTCGGAGCTGGGGAGGGGCTGGCTGAGAAGAGGCCCCCAAGCGGGCCTCGACAGACGCACAAGAGAGAGAGCCCCAGGAGCCGCGAGCGGCCCGAGATAAGCCCATGACGGCCCGAGAGGGCCCCGGGACGCAGAGGAGGAAGCGCACAGGATCATTGGAGGCCGTCTGGTCGTTCCCGGCCGTCGTCCTGGAGCTGGGGTGTCGCTTTCTCTCCGCTGCGCCGCGCGACGCTCCCCCTTCCCTCTCCTTCTCTGGCCCCTCTCTCCTCTCTCCCCTCCTTGCCTCCCTCGGTTCTGAGAACGCCTCTCTCCTGAGCTCAAGGCCTTTCCATTCCGTCCTCTGTATGTATGTATGTATATATATATATATATGTCTCTCTCTCTCTCTCTCTCTTTTCCCGCTCTGCTGCACGTCATTTCAGCTCGCCTCCCCTCCGCCTAGCCCGCTCCGCGATCGTCCGCCCCCACCTCTGCTTCTGCTGCCCATGCCCTCCCCCTCCCCCTCGGTCGTCACCCTCCTCCTCCTCCTCCTCTTCCTCCTCCT